TCAGAGGGTGGGATTTTTCCCAGGGAATGCCTTACTGCTAAATGATGAACTACCACTCAGCTGAGCCCTCAAGGGTTAACACACTCTTGTTAACATAGCCTCACACTCTACAAGCCAGCACGAATGGAGGGAGGAGATACAGCATGGCAGAGAGAGACAAACTGTGTGTGAGTGTGACTGACAGATCCACACACACCCCGTGTGTGAGAGAGACCCACCCGCATTGCTCCTTTAAGTATACTGACCCCACTCTAAGTACACGGCCTTTTAAAGTAGATCAGCAAGTTGAGACAGCAGCTGCTGCCAGGAAGCTCCCTCCTTCCTGAGCCCTGTCATGCTCCCCCTCCACTCTGTGGAGGAGCAGCGGGCAGGAGAGGGGGAGGACACACTGACCTTGGGGCCCCTCTTCCTGCACAGCAAGCAGGAGGCTCCCGGGAGCAGCTCCAAGGCAGAGGGCAGGAGCAGCACATAGCAGTGGGGGAGGGACAGCTGAACTGCCCGGCACTGGACAGTCTGCTGTGCGGCTGCTGCACAGGGAATTTAGGGGGGCTGCCGGTCCACCCTGGTTCCACCAGCTAGCTCCAACGGGCTGCTCTTTCTGCAAGCAGTGGACAAAGCAGGTGGCTGCCAAACGAGAGGGAGCATTGTGCAACTTTAAATGAGCATGTTCTCTAATTGATCAGCAACATAACAAAGTTAATTGGGACGATGTTAAGTGAGGAGTTACTGTAGTTAAAAAAAAAAAAAAAAAAATGTTGTGACTAAAGCAGCCAGTACAGGGACCTTGTTCTTATGGTAGACATCTTCCAGCACCACAGATGGCTCTGTAGTATCAAGGCAGTAGGCTCCATCTTGGCAAAGACCAACAGGACTTGTGCTCAAAGTGCAGGTCTAACAAAGGGTATTAAATGACAAAAGATGATGCTGAAACAATGCTGAGGATTTGACTTTGCTGTTTTTAAAGTAGCAATTTCATTCTAAAAATACTTTTCAAGCACAGATATCTAGAGCCTCACAAAGAGCTTCAGGTATTAACCTCATTCTACATTTGGGGAAACTGAGGTAGATGGTGACTTGCTTAAGGTGACAGGGGTCAATAACAGAACTGGGAACTGAAACTAGAGATCTCCTGACTCCCAAACCCAAACTTTAAGTAATTCGTATAGCACCTATTGCAGTAGTAATTCTTGGGACATTTAGCTACCAGTTCTGCCCAACAGAAACTACTTAAGTTGCAACATATTATAAATGTTAGTTTTAAGAGTAGCCTACAACAAGTGATGCTACACTGAGAACCAACAAGACAGAGCCACCTATTTTTTGAGCCTTTGAGTCTGCTTGAGACTTGCAACATGTTCAGAATGAAAACATGCTAGATCAAAGAAAGACATCTCTACGATGTACAGGGATCAACATCAAAAAAAGCCCACACTTCTCTTCTTATTTTATACTATCTCATTGAAAAAAAAAAAGGGAGATACTGAATGTGTTTTGCAGTATTACTCAAGGCAATCCATTAACCCACACAGTTTACATACTTGAGTTTCTTACACAAAGGTCAAACACATGCAGCAACAACTTTAGAGCTACCATCTCCAATCCTCTCTGCAACCCCTTTTCCAACCTCACTTAAATTTCCCAATATCATGTTTTCCCATCTCTTAACTGCTATGACCTTTTTCTTGCTTTGGGCCTAATCTTTCAAGGGGCTGAGCACCTCTCTCAGTTTGGAACTGTGAGCAACAACAGGAGTCCAGGAGGACATTTCCAGATCAGGCCTTTTTGTATGCCCCAAACTCATCAGCTCTCGGCTCAGCCATAGCCGAAAGCATAACATATTTAAACCACATAACATATTCAAAACTACCAAACCACTCCCAAAATATCACCATTTCCCCTGCAACCTCACCTCAGGAACTCTGGTATCTGATGTCACCTTAATTTATTTTACAAATTTGGGAGGCAAGTTTGCAAGTGATCTCCAAAATATTGTTAAATTCAAAACAATTCTCCACTGAAATTCACATGCATTCCTTAAATCCATGCTTTAGTAAGTGCCTCTGGGCTTGGCAGTTCACAGCCCTGGGACCTCTGGGCTTTCTGCATCAGTTATGAAAGTAACAAACTTGCTTGAGCCCTGGCACCTCTTTCATTACAAATTAAGCACTGGCTTTAGTCTCTCCCAAAATCCAAGTTAAAGCTTCAATTTACCATAGTCTCTCTTCAGCAGTACCTAGAAATGGACATGTCTACTAAGTCTCCATAGCCAAATCGTCACTTGTTTTCCACTTTTGTCAGAGTTCAGTACCATAATCTCAGTAGCACTAACAAAACAATCAGATCTTACTCCCTTGGACTCTTAGTGGTCAGAATACGAAGGAACTGACATATTGGTTCAGATTAATTCATCCACCAAGCCTGATGTTCTGCCTCCAGCAGCAAATAACTGATTTTTTTGGTTTGCTTTATCTGAAAAAACTCCTAGAACATACATGGGTACTATGCAGTATTGTTAGCGGTTGGTCCTGGATGGGGTTGAGGAAAGAGAAGAGTGTGACTTCTCACTCCAGCTGTAATAAGATTATCCCCAGAAGCATGTGTTTTTTGTTACCGCCTTGTTCCTATATGGCTCATTCTTCCCAGAGCATGCCTCTGCCATATCACATTTATTAAAATATGGAGACCACAGTACAGTATATAAACAAATGCATAAGCTAGACGAGCGGTTAATATATAAAATGTTTTTGAATGGTGAGGTACCATACATAAAGAAAGCTTTTTTTTACTGAAAAAAAAGTACACAATAAGTAAAAGTGCATAATTCTAATCACATCAGCTTTTGCATAGCTATTAACTTTACTGCCATGTTCAAGCACACCATAGTATAATGCATGTCCAGTACTCCATGAAATGGTTGTGAACTTCTGATGCATGGTGCTTTCCCGCACCAAACCCATATCATTGCTGTTTAGTGTGTGTAAACAGAAGCTTCCCTATATATTATTCTGTTCCAACTCTGAACCAAGCAGCCACCAAAAGCTAATTACAAAAGGCAGAGTTCCTATTTACATCTTGATAAGCATTGATAATGGGGAAAAAATGCAGAAAGACATGTTTTATCGGTGAAGAAGAGTGTTCGTAACATACAGAATTTGTAAGATTTACCCAAACATGACATTGATTCATCAAAGATCTGACAACATTTTCCACTGTAGTCAGTCTCTCAAACATTTGCAATTCAGCCACAGAGGTTCATTTGACACAGAAACTTGAAATAACTGTCAGTCAAGGAGCAAATCTTTGACATCAGATTTGGCGTAAGTCAGTTTTAAATCATAAACAAGTTATGGGACACAAAGAATTCAGGATTTACACTTTTTCCTGCCAGGACTCAACAACTGGTTGTGTGTGTTTTCACCTGTGCAGGTTATTAATCACAGACCTTTTTATACAGTGTATGGAAAATACCTTACTGAAGGTTTGAGAAAAGCACATTAGTTACTTCACATATTGTGCACTCTGCATTTGGTACTGCTAATCATATCGCACAGATTGACATCACAGATATATCACACACAAATGCAGGCTGTTGTAATAATGGAAACAGAAGAAGCCATAGTTAGTCATGTCAAGAAGTCTGCAAGTGAAGTTGCTAAATAAACATTTATCAAGAGATTGTACTAGCTTCTATCACTACATACATTCAAGATTCAAAATTTTAAATAGAGAGGTTCTCGCTCCTCTTTTAATACTAGCATAAAACAAAAGGAAAAATGAGCTCCAAGATACTGCTAGAGCAACATTAGGACTCCGACAAGTTGGAACTTTTTTGCAGTTTGGGGCTTAAAATGAACATACCCATTCTGACAGCATGTACTTAACACATCCTATTGTCTCTTGTGGAAACACAGTACTTACCTTTGCACATCCCACTAAGGAACATACAGAACCTTACATTTTATAATCTCATTTTTCTTTTGTATGAAAAACACTCAAGATAAAACAAGCAAATATAAACAGAAGCAGCACTGTCTTCATAGACGCATATAACTATACAACAGGAGCACTTCCTTCCTCTTCCTAACAATAACAGCCTTACAAACAGCTATTTCACAGTAGAAAAAGAAAAGTCAGACTGTACCTAGCCTTGCAAGGGTGCTTACTCAGGGCATTCCAGGGATTAATAAACCCACAGGAGAATATCCTCCTTTATGTTGTGCTGGGTAAGCAATTGCCTAACAAACTGTTTTAGAAAATTTAGTGAAGAGGTGCTGAAAGGTGCTGGTTTGACAGCCTTGGAGACTGAAGTCCTGTATTTAACCACAGAACAGGTACAACACAAGTACTGGTGACACAAGTTTGCCCATGCCTAATATCTTGATATGGAAAGTATTCCAAAAACGAGTTCTGTATCCATTGCCTTGCCCATGTTTACAAAAATTCAGAGTCATAATTCACCACCAGTAAACAACCACGTTGTCAAAAAGTGCCAGTGTCCTGGCAACATTAAGTGGCGATTTACAAGCCTGAGTTTTGCTGGGGCAGATGCATGCCCAACCCATTAAGGAAGGTGGCTACTAGTGCCCGTTACAGTGATGCTTTTGTAGCGTGGACGCTGGGGCACTACAAACCGTACCCAGACCAGCACCCTGGGCAGGGCCCGTGGTGTGACCCACCAGGCAGAGGGCCTGCCCACCTGCTGACTGCGAGCGCAGGAGTTTGCTGCCGCACAGCCCCGGGGGTGCACGCTTGGAGACTGACCGCAGGGCATTTTCCCTGCGGGGGAAGCGGCTGCCTGAGGCGGAGCCGGGATGGGGCTGGGTCTGACGGGTGGCTGGTTTGCTGGCAGCACTTCAGTCTCTAGCGGTTCCCCGTCCTCCCTGTGCCGGAGGCAGGGCACAGCCCGGACCCCGGGGGGAGGGCAGCGTGGCCCGGGAGCTGAGAAGCAGTACGAGGCACTGCAGGAGGCGGCAGGCCCAGTGCCCGGAGCCGGTTCTTACCATACACCAGTTTTTTCATCTCGTGGTATCTGGCCCATAGGTAGGACTTAGTGTCGGCGCCCTCGGCAGGGCTGGGCTGGCTGCTCAGGGGACTGCCTGCGGCCGGGCTGGGCTCCGCGGCTCTCCGGGCTCTGCCAGGGACTGACTGGGGTGGGGACTGCCCCGCAGACTGGTGCTGAGCCCTTTGCTGGCCCCAGCCCGCCCGCCTGCCCTCGCCGGGGCCGCTGCTGGCGGCGGAGCTGCAGCTCTGGCAGAAGACGGCGGCGGCCAGCTGTAAGCCAGCCCCGTTACCCTTCCACAAGCCGCTGCCCGCAGTCTTGAAGCCGATGGCAGCCATGGCCTCCCCGCGGCTCCCCGGCAGGCGCGGAACTTAAGACGGCCGCGAAGAACCGCAGCCCTCTGGGAAGGGTCTGAAGCCCGCGCGCCCTCCCATGCACGGCCGCCGGCTCCGGCCACCCTGCAAGCCGAGCGCCCAGCCAGCCGCCCGCTGCCCGGGGACCGCGGTAACTAACTCCGCGCTGCCAGCCAATGAGCAGCCGAGCGAGGCGGGCCACGCGGCCAATCCTCGATTCTGCAGAGGAGCCAGCGTTCGGGGGCGGTCTCTCCAGACCAGCGAGTCCCGTCTACACCGCAGCCACATGTGGGCCCCAAGGCTGCGCGGCGGCACGGGACTTGCAGTTCTCCCAACTGTTTCACTAGGGACCTGGTCAGGCAAGCGACGCGCCAAGTACTACAGGTCCCATGAAGCATTTCGCCAATATAGCTGGAGGGTATTTAAATATTGTTTATTGCAGCTCTGCGGTAGCGATATTCAGGGCTTTGCGTGGTTGTGGGGGAGGGGGTTTGGTGTGCGTGGCAGCGTGGGGGGAAGGGGATGTGACTTCCCGTTCGTCTAAATTACTATTTCAAGGAAGGAATTGGAACTCAGTAGCCTGAATTATTTCCAACTAGATTAACCACAGAGGAAAGCAGTAAAGAGAATAATTCTTCCCTTACACGGGAAGATGGAGTAGATGCATACCATCTTCTCCATATCAATTTCTGCGGCCCTATCTATATTAGGGAACTTAAGGGAAAAGCCTATTTGTGTTACCACCAGTTCAGCTGTACTGCTGGAATCTCTATTGTAGACAATATTCCATCCTCCTCATGCATTTTTACAAGTCAGCAGATTTGAAAGCTGTGTAAAAAAAACAAACAACAAAAAAAAAACAACAAACCCTGGAAGTTGTTGGAGCATTGTGTACACTAGAACTCCACTGGTGCTACCATAGATGCAGCCAAAACAATTTTTAAACAATTTCAATTCCATGGCCTATGAGTAAGGCTATTTAGTCATGGGCATTTTTAGTAAAAGTCATAGACAGGTCACAGTCAATAAACAAAAATTCACAGCCCAGTGACCTGTCCATGACTTGTACTATATACCTCTGACTATATATTGCACATATTTGGTCCAAGTACAGTGGTATGTTAATTTATTATAATAGCGCTGGATTATGTATGTTATTTTTGCAGAACAGGGATTGTAGAGGTGCCCTGTTAAGTAAGGACCAGATCTAGATGTCCATGTGCAAACAGAACTCTATGTATCAGTTTGAAGATTTCTAAAATGGGAGGTAGTATAGAGGCAGACCACTGATGCCACTTTAGCCCTGGCAGAATGAGACCAATGAGACCTAGCTATTGTCATCATAGCTAAGGTACAACAGGACTCAATTCATAATTTACACAGGCACTGAATTAAAATGGCATTCCCTTTACACAGATCTCCAAAAGCTACAAAACATCTTTTGAATTCTCAATGGTCTTAGTTCTATCCATGTATAAACTCAAAGCCCTCTTGACATATAGGGCACAGAGCTCAGGAAGCAGAGTATATCCCAAAAGTGAAAATACAGACAGGCACCTTGAAGAAAAAAATGCCTGTCCCAAAACCAAAATTGTCTTAGTTTCTACGCTGGGGTTACTACTGCTTTTAAAACAACTTAATGTTGGAATAGAGAGGGAGGTTGCTGTGTTTTGTGTATTTCATTCTTCTACCTCAAGGATAAGCTGCTGCTCAAAAACCCCAGTGCAGTAACTGGATCATCTGAAAATGAAAACTGGCCTCTTGTCAGTTTCCTTGCACAAGCTAGCCAAATGCAATTGCACCTTCTACTGCACATGGATGAACTCTCTCTGAAATGCAGAGTCAGTGGCCAAGCAGAGCCAGAAAAGAAATTTAAAAGTGAGATGGATACATCATTAACCTTTTCTTTTATTTGATGGGGTTTACAAGACATAGCAATGGAAAGCCAATTTCAATATTAGAGTCTTGTGCAGATGTGCTTGGAGTGCCTTCTGTACAGCTTCGAAGCTTGGAGCAGGTGTACTGCAGAAAGTAAACCAGTTACTTTCAAAACAAAATATTTTATTGGTATCCCCAAAATGGGGGAAAGAGGCAGAGCCATCAGCTCTATATCAGAGGTAAACACATACCCCTGCTCAGGATAGGATTTCAGGTTTGACATTCTCTGCCCATTTGTCATTGTGCATCACTGATCCATTGGCAAGCTGCTTCACTGCACAGTACTATCTATCTCTTAGGAGGTTGTTCAAGGTGTCCAGCAAATGGGACGCCAGCAACCACTTCCTCCCCGGGGGCAGTTTCACCAGGTTCGCCGACTGGCAGTTCATCCACTGGGCCCAACTCAACTGCGTTCCCCTCAACAGAGCCATCCGCGACGGCAACCGGGACAAGTGCTGCAGGAAGTGTGGCTATGCCAATGAGACCCTGCTCCACGTCTTGTGTGGATGCAAACAGCACTCCGGAGCCTGGCGGCACTGCCACAATGCCATCCAGAACCAGCTGGTGAAAGCCATCCCGCTGTCCCTGGGGAAGATCACCATTGACTCCGCCATCCCTGGGACAGACAGCCAACTGCGACCCAACATCGTCGTGACAGATGCAGAAAAGAAGAAGGTCCTCATGGTAGATGTCACAGTGCCATTTGAAAACAGATCACAGGCCTTCCACAAGGCCCGAGCACAGAAGGCGTTGAAGTACACCTCGCTGGCTGACACCCTGAGAGCCCAGGGCTATGATGTCCAGATCCACACCTTGAGTGGGCGCCCTGGGCGCATGGGACCCCCACAATGAGCTGGTACTGAGAGCATGCGGAGTCGGTCAACGCTACAGCCAGCTCATGAGACAGCTCATGGTGTCCGACACCATCAGGTGGTCCAGAGACATCTACACAGAACACATCACAGGTCACCGCCAGTACCAGGTCGAATAACCGAGAATGACAACCAGGGAAATAACCCACTTCCTTCCCTGACACCCCACCCATGTACTTATTCTCTAGACCAATACAGACTTAGACTCTTAATACATACCATGGGTGGGGTACCCAAGCCCATTTATCCACTGACGCTTTAAAAACTCTCACACCGCAATCTGGATCTGTACTGGTTATGTGATATGAATGTACCTCGTGAACCTTGTAATCAATACTTGCAATATCCCATAACCTAACCCTAACCCCAGATGAACTGTACCTTCCCTCTTACCTTTTGTAAATTTGATTTTAAACATTAACTTCAATAAAATTTTTAAATCTCTTAGGGTTAATTCAGTTTCACTTCTCCAGGCTGACATTTGGGGGGGGGGGGGTGTTCCTCAGTCTAGGGAAAAGTATGTGTTAATTTGCTTATTTGAAGATACCATTTGACTAGATTCCTCAGCTTGGGTCTCACACCTCCCTGTGAAGCCCTGGAGTCAACTCTTCTCTCACCAGAGCCTTGAAATCACAGGAGGGGTTCGGTAGTAACCAACAGTCTCTCCAGTGAAAGAGACTTTTCCTGGTCTGCTGCACAGGTAAGCAACACAGAAAGTTACTCAGAGAATGAGAGACATTAGCAAGTGGGACGAACCCTGGCCGAGGGCCCCTGACGACAAAGAATGCTTGCAAGGGGGCAACACCCCCTTTTAGGGCCCACACTCTGGCCCCTCGCTTGAGAGCCTCCGGCAAGGGGCCAACACCCCAGCCCAAGACGTAGCACCCGGGCCCCTTGCCTGAGAACGATCGGCGAGGGGCCAATGCTGGGGGCCCAGAGCCTGAGAGCCATCGGCAGGGCGGGAGAACTCGGTCCCTCACTGGCCCCACCCGCCGCAGGCGGTGACGGAGAGCAGCGCCCCACCGCAGTGCGCTCGAGGGGCGGGGCGATAAGCCCCAGACCCACAGGGGCTGAAGGAGACTGGACAGAACACTAGACGGCGCCACCATAGCCACTGGCGCTCTCTGTCTCCTGGTAGGCCCCGCCTCTAGGCGACAACCCCCTCCACAAACCGCGCTCCTTAGGCCCCGCCCTTTCCAGCCGCTCTGACCAATCAAGCACGCGGCAAACCACCCTCCTGGATCACGTGCCCGCTACGTTTCTTCTGCCTGCTGCGGCTGCGCTGTCTTCTTCGCGTTCTCTTCCGCGCCCGGATGGGACGGGGTGTGGGTCGTCGTCCTCCGTGCGGATCGCGAGACGCCTCCCCCGAGGGGGAGGAGGGCATGTGCGGATTGGGGACCGTTATATGAGTGACCGTTGGGGGCCCCTGAGACCGCCACGCAGGCTGGGGGAGGGTCTGGGGCTCCCCGGGCAGGAACTCGGACAGTGGCCTGTAGGTTTGTTCTTTGCGGGGTGCAGAGGGCCCCTCCCTGCCCCACCAGCGTGCTTGGGGAGAGGGACGGGGGTTAAGGCGTCCCCCCCCCCCCGCGCTGTTAGCTCCAGCTGGAGGCTATTGGGTGTGGACGGGAGTCGGGGTGCGTGGAAGTAACGCAGCTGGGAAGACACAGGAGGCGAGAGCGGACCTGACTCCTCTCACCATTGCTCAGCTGCTCCTCGGGTGGGAGGGAGGGAATGGTGTAGTGACGAAGACCCTACTGCTCTTGTTTACTGTGTGACAAGCCTTTCCCTTCTCCCATGTACACCCCTCAACACCGTAGAAACAACCAGGGATTGCAAAAAGAAAAGGAGGACTTGTGGCACCTTAGAGACTAACCAATTTATTTGAGCATAAGCTTTCGTGAGCTACAGCCACGGTATGCATCCGATGAAGTGAGCTGTAGCTCACGAAAGCTTATGCTCAAATAAACTGGTTAGTCTCTAAGGTGCCACAAGTCCTCCTTTTCTTTTTGCAAATACAGACTAACACGGCTGTTACTCTGAAACCAGGGGTTGGTTGTGTTTGGGCTGGTAAACACTTTATTTGACTCCACAACTCTTCTTTCTTTCAGCTTGTTTGGTGGTGGAGGTGAGACCCTATTGCCATCCCTGAAATGCTGGTGAGGAGAAAAATAAGATACCTCTTGCAGCTGGTGCCTGGAAAGCAGCACTTTGGCATGTACAGATTCCTTCCTTTCTTCTTTCTCCTTGGGGGAGCCATGGAGTGGTTTATGATCAATGTCCGGCTTGGCGAAGAGACATTTTGTAAGTGGCAGGAGAGTATTGTCATGTTGCACATATTCCACTTTTGGATCCAATATCATCTTCTCTAGTGAAGTGGGATTGCCCATCTCTGCAACTTGCACACTGTTACCAATGATCTACTATCCAAAATACTCTACTATTCCAGGATGCCCATTTCATTTTTTTGACCTATAAACTACAGCTTTTATTAACTAAATCCCCATAGGCATGCTAGAGCACACCAGTGCTATTTTTGTTTACGTAGCAGCAGCTTTCATTAGTTAGTTTAAAAAAAATTTAAAATCCAATTTAAGATTTTAAGTAACAAGCAATTAGCATCCACTTTAACAAAGAGTATCCTTAAACTTTAAACGCCCATTAAATTTTTAAAAATCTGAAAACTAGTTGCTCTGTATTTTATATTCTAAGACTTGCCATTGCAGGTTCTGTTTTTGCCTGAGACCAGCTGAAGACACTCACCTAAAGCCCTGTCAGTAGTAGAATCAGAGCCATTCAAGCAAAGCAGTTTGTCAGTATGAGGGTAGTAATCCAGCATATTGAGTGCCACACTTTTAATCCAGCTGCAATTTAAGATAGAACATTAATTCGGCTGTTGTACACCTGAAAGATTAATGAGTTACATTAAAGTGCCTTCCTCTCAGCAAGTAGCTGTTTACCCAAGTAAACTCTATGAAAGCAATGAATTAGGTTTTTGTTTTTTTTTAAATAAAGAAGCCTCATTAAATTTGTATATAGGGGCATTTCAGAAAGAGGAACTAAGTAACATTTCAGTGTTGCTGTTTGGTATGTAGGAATACTTTCACATATCCTGATGTTTTCTACATTTGCAAACATCTAAATATATCATTTCCACAGCTGAAAACTAATATATTTGCCCAGTTCAATGTCTCACATTAGGTGCTTTTAGTGGATTGGTTGGTTTGTTTTGCATGTAAATCTTCCATTGGCACTACTGCTGTATGGTTGTGAAGAAAAGCATGTTAATTAGAAAGCATCCTTTGCATTTCTGGAGATGAGTTTATTTTCTTCCATATAACAGGAATGTCATATACCTAAATGATGTTGCGCTAAAGGCAGAGCTGGCTCACTTAATTCTGCAATTTTACTTGTTCACAAACTGGCTGTTTTTGTGAAAAACAGGCATACATAGTAAAACTGATCATTAATCGTTGTTTTCCATTGCAGGAACTCATCTGGTCATGGGTATTTATTATGAATTAGAAGTTCAGACAGGACCATATTAAGGCAACATGGGGGCTTAGGCATTCTGTGGCATGAGTTAGGGGATGGATAGGTGGTTTCTAGCTTGTGCCTGCATACCATGGCCATGCCCTGTGTACCATGCAGCTTCCTCTCAAGTGGCAAGTGCCACCCAAACAAGATGTCCGCTGGGGGGAGACAGGCACCACCACCACCCAAAGGAGGAAGACTTCAGTCTTCATAAACCTGGAGGGTGGGGGTTGCTAACACCATTCCAGCAGAGCTGTGATTGAGCTGTGGCAATCAAAGATCCCCTTCTCACAGTCCTTTGCTGGTGTGGTGTCACTAGGGTCCCCCACAACAGTGGTTTTCAGAGTCAATGCTTCATTCTGTGGAGCAGCTCACAGCTGAGCTGTTTCAGGCTGTCAGCACATGCAGGTAGACTTTACTGTGTTATTTACACTCAAGTTACATTTTCAGTCTTTTCTTTGTAAGCATCAGATCTAGAAAACCGGTTTTGTGTTTTGTTTTTTTAAATGAAGCTGAGATTTTGAAGCCTTTGTGATATTCCAGGAACTAGGAACCTAGGCACAGACCTATACCTTAATCTGGCCCTGCCTTCAAACAGGGCCAGATCATATATTTTTTTTTAAATTTAGTTGTTTCCAAGGGAAGGTATGTGTGCATCATATTTCAGGTATAGAAATTTTACCCAAGAAAGAATATACATTTAAAAAAAAACCCAGCAATTCAGGGCAAGATGGAAGTGAGAATTTATTTTTTAAAGAGGGTAGATTAGACTCATTAACTCATTCTTTTAAATTCTTGTCAGCATCTACAAATGGAAACTAGCTCTGAAAGCTCCTAAGTGTCAACATTCACAAATTTAGGATTTTGTTCTTGGAAGATTGTTTGACTCTTCCTAAAATCTCAGGCAAATAATCAAAGAATCTCTTCACGGCAGATGATGTTTACCGTAGGAAACGGTCGGAGAGACAATATGAGCGGAGGATGGAAGAAAGATGAATTTTTCACTGAACCATTTTGACACACATACCCTGAACCCTTGAATCCTGTGAATCATAGTTTAGAGAATTATAACTCCTGTTAAATGCATTCACAAGACTACATCTCTGCAAATTGGACTGTAATGCACTCATTGCCTGGTCTATGAAACATGGTTTTCCAAAATATTTTGAGTGTATTCTTCCTTCACCCACTTTAGAATCTTTTCCAGTAATATTTTCTGAATAGAAGGGTGAAGAATGTTGTTTGTGCAAAGCTCTGTTAAATAAACTAAACTGAATAAACAAAGTACCACTGCTTTCCTGTGCGTGCTGAGACAACTCCCACTGTAACTGATTTAAGCAGAAGAAAAGTAGATATGCAGTTTCCATAGTTAGTTAGTTTTGCTTGTATTGATAGAAACTGCTCTTGTCTCAGATTTGTTTTCTTTCCACTATACTGCTCTTTCCCCCAAATACAATAGAACAGATTTATGGAAAAATAAGCTTGCTACGCTTGGAGTATATTTGAAGAGTCATCCATTTAGGCCTGACGAAATACATGTATCGGTTGCACCAACTGCAGCCACGCTGATGATAAGGAGATGAATATGAGATATGGTCTTGGAAAAGGTTATCTTTTTAGATCCTTAAGTGTGGAGGGACATGCAACAGAAATATATGAAACACTGAATTATTTTAATTGATTCCTGGATCTATTTCTATAGAAAGAAAATACTGCTCAAGGACAACAAGAAGCTGTTTAAAATAATTTTTTGGTCTTAAAGCTACCTAGCAGAGCTAAAAACATTTAATATCAATATACAAAGGCATTTCAGTAATAATGCAGGAAAATCACCCATATCATGTTTTGAATTAGAATTGCCTATTAAAACTGCAGTGCCAAGCCAAAGTTGTGTGCTGCAGTTCGTGTTAACTTCTACAGTACCTGACTTGAAGCCTAGACTTTCTAGCAATGCATTATATTACAACAAAACATTTCCATAACAAGTTTTTAAATCAAGGGTTATGATTAGGACAAAAACCCAGATGGGCTGTGTACTTAAAACTGTCTTTTGCTAATTCCTTTTTAAGAGCCACATTATACAGAAGTGGGTTTTCATTAATTAAAAAGAGACGACAACCACTGCCTCAAATATCTCATCTAGGTATTTGATTTTTAAATGCAGGAGAGGGACTTTGTTACAAGACTGAAGACTATCCAAAAATTCTCCATCACCATCTGCCCCAAAGATTTCATTTTTTAAAGGGCTAGCGCCACTTGTGTTTTCAGAAAAAAAAAGTTGATTGCTAAGAGAATAAAGGTATGACTAAGCCCTATTATACTTTAGAAAAAACATAAGCAAAAAATATCTAAGCAACTGAGAAAGGAATGCAATTCAGAGGTAATAGCAATAGGTTAGATTTTTATTCTGACAGAGTTAAGAATCTTTGGACTGTACATTTTTTAGGGCAGGCAGGGACTTAAGTCTTCATATACATCTGTAAGACCCTGATCTTGTAAACATTTATGCACATGGTTAACTTTAATATCCTAAGTCATTCTATTAAGACTAATTTGAGGCCATTGGGCACTACTGTAACAGATTACACACAATAATACAAGAATGTTAAGTTTGCAAAGTCAAGCCCTTAATTAGAAAAATGCCATAACTTTACCTCTACAAAATTTGGCCCCTTCTACATGCAAATATATTATGATAGTGTTTAACTACACTATTTTCTGCCCATGACCTAGCCTTGCATCATTCAGGGCACAGGAGGGCTGGCTCACTGAATTAGCAATTATTCAATATATTGTTTATTCTCATTGTTTAATGTGTGGCCCAAACCCATATTAATTGCACCCTATTCAAATCCAACACTGATGACAGAATTATTCATTTCTTAATTCACTTTTCTATGGTAGTCTTCACTATGGTATCTGAGTGCTTCACAATTATTAATGAATTTATATTCATCACTCCCATGTGAGATCAGGTGATATCCCCTTTTTATAAATGGGGTACTGAAACAGATATTAACATCAAAAGTGTCCATAAACTTCGGTTGCCCAATTTCAGACCTCTGCATTGTGATTTTTCAGAGAGAGTAGTTAGCATTTTGATAGCACTGTATGTTCAAAGCACAGCTCCCACTGACTTTAGTTGCATCTGTGAGTGCTCAGAACTTTTGCAAATCAGACTCCAAGGTCTCAAGTTGGGCAAGCAGAAAGTGAAAACACAATTAGTGGCCAGCTATGAAAAGTTTGTTCTAAAGGAAACAAATCACCGGTGCAAGTTGTCCTTTCAGTTGCCATTGTTTCCCACAGAACCCATGGCTTTCAGTTACAATGGGGCTGGTGTGATCTGGAATCCAAAACTCTGCACGCTGTACTGCAACACCTGAAACAGAGAAGATGTCTCACCACTGTGGCTAATTGCCTTAAAGAAAGCAATTATATATTTTTTAAAAAGTGTTAATGTAAGCAGTGTCCCTTCTATTCTAACTTTTTGGTTTAACATTTATCTTGTTTGGTCCAGAGGCTATTAGGATTTTTTAAAATTTATTTAATGGTATTTAGATATTTCCCAAATTAATGAACCAAGTATCATGATATTAAAGTCCTAAATAAACATAGATTTGGGCTTAAAAAAAAATCACACAGTAACTCTGGTGGAAGCTGGGACAGAGTCCAGTTCTCACAGTGGTATTCAAATGCCTTAACCATGAGACCCTCCTTTCTGTTCCTGCAATCCTGCCTCATTTCACTAACTCTACACACCTTTGAACTAATGAGGAAGGGGTCCAGACACCTTCAACAGGTCATCAGCAAGGTTGGAGCCTTAAGATCCTCAGCACAGACCTCTGCCACTTGAACTAATGGAGTATCTGATATCAATAGGAGTTTGTCATTCCCTATGTGTAGCAGCACTGGAGGCAGGATAAGACACACACTTTGCCAGTGGGTTTCACAGATATTTGTTGACTGCAGAGGAATGCTGAGATTCAGGAATCTTGAGTTCCATTGAAGGTTCTGGAGGAGAGTATGACCTAGGGCTAAGAGATGCTTCTTGTCTTTGGCCTCTACCCTACACCTCTCATCATAGTTCCAGTCTCCTTCCCAAACCAGTCTCAGTCTTCCCCTCTGTACTACTCACTTGATCCCCAATCTGTGCCTGTTCCCATTCCCAGTCCCAGTCTTCTCTCTCAGCCAGTCTCAGTCTTCACAGACATACCCATAGAGATGGGCTCATCATCTGATTTCAGTCCTTTCCCCGCCCATCCTAAGTGGCTTCTAGTCCCCCACCCTTTCCCTTTTCCCTTGACTGGCTCTCAACCCCAGTCATCTTGCCGAGCAAGTCCCAGTCTCCTTATACCAATTTCCTCCTTCTAGCACCCCTCACCCCAGTCTGGATTTTGTCCCTTCTGCATTCAAGTCAGTGAGATTCCTCTTTTATGCTGCCTGAGATCCAGCATTAAAGAGCACAGGAATAGAAAATTTCTTACCAATAATTACCTTTCTGCTAGCCGGGTCTTCCATAGTTCTTGACATCTGGGCTGCTCTGCTCACTCTTGCAGTTCACAGAGGCAGATCAGCTTTTTGTTGTCACCACTCTGGCCATGCCCCCTCGGCTCCCGCTTGGGGACAGATGAGTTATTCCAAAGTTGTAAAAATTGTATAATAATATTAGTAACAAATACTTCAGAGGTAACTGACCAACTATGTTCAGTGAACCACAACAGAAAAAAAAGGCCCATGTTAAAGATCCCACTCAGCAGCTGACCTTTTGGCTCAAGGCCAAGTGGGTAGAATTGTGGGAGAGACTGCTAGCAGAAAGGAAATCATCAATAAGAAATTTTCTATACTGTAGCCCAGAATTTCCCACAATTCTCTGGGACTTGTCGAGCAGTGAACAGATGTAGGAAGGGCATAGAGAAGGTCAGAAAAAAAGGAAAACAGTATCCCCTCCCTGCTCATAACATTTGCTCAAAGGCAAAAATCATTTCTAAGCCATCATCTCCAGCACCTTCCTGCTCAGGTCACCAGAGCGCAGAACTGGAAGTCCACCTTGTAATGCTTGCTAACAATGGTAGTAGTTGACCATGTGGCCACCTTACAAATTTCTGCTGTAAATGCATGAGCTATTTTGCACACGATGTCACCAAGGATTGCGGGAGTGTGTCCTGATCACTTCAGGGACTGAAATTTCCGATGCCTTGTATCCTTCCACAATACATAATCTAACCCAGGGGTTCTCAAACAGGGGTATGTGTACCCCTGGGGGTACGCAGAGGTCTTCCAGGTGGTACATCAACTCTAATTATTTGTCATTATTTTTACAACAGGCTACATAAAAAGCACTAGCACAGTCAGTACAAACTACAATTTCATACAGACAATGACAGGGTTATACTGCTCTACATACTATACGCTGAAATATTTATACTCCACTTGATTTATAACTATATGGTAAAAATGAGAAAGCAAGCAATTTTTCAGTAACAGCGCACCATGATACTTTTGTATTTTTATGTCTGATTTTGTAAGCAAGTAGTTTTTAAGTAAGGTGAAACTTAGGGATACACAAGACAAATAAGACTCCTGAAAGGGGTACAGCAGTCTGGAAAGGTTGAGAGCTACTGATTTAATCCACCTAGCAATGGAGAACCTGGAAGCTCTAAGTTTTTGGCATTTCGGATGGAAGGATACAAACACGGCACCCAAACTCCTCACAAACCCTGTACATTTGAGATAAATTTTCAAAAGCCTTCTAACATCTGTCTCGCCTCTCCTCAGGGGGTGCTGTGGCCTTGGACAAAATGAAGAGAGAATCACTTCTTTGGAAGCATGGAAGGAAGAGTTCACCTTTGGGATAAATAATTCCAGAGTTCTGAGCACCACCTTGTCTTCATGAAACACACAGTAAGTCTCCTGCCCAGAAAGTGCTGCCAGCTCCAACACTTGCCTGGCGGACATGATATTCTATCAGAAAGCAAGTCTTGATGGACAAATAAAATGCTGACACATACACCAGTGGTTTGAAGGGGTGGTTTGTCATGGCTCTTAGTACAAGTGGCAGGACCCATCTGGGAATGAGGCCTGATTACCGATTGGCTAATCAGACTGTCCTAAGGAATCTGGCTTCCTGGGGGTTCTCTACCAGAGAACCATGGATCTTGCAAACACCACACTACTAAGGGCAGACAACTGACATGCAATGGTGCTAGTTTGGAGGAAACCTTTATCAAAGCTTTCGTAGAGAAAAATCCAAAATAGCCAGAGTTCCTGGATTCCTAGTATTAACTTCG